TCCTCTGCTAACAGAGCTGGCCTCAGCAGCTTTCCTTAACTGAAGAGGAAGGTTCCACAACTTCACTCCTCTATCCTTCATCATCTGAAGCCAGACCACATGACTGATGGTACTGTGACGGGCTGCTTTTCTTGGGACAGAGGCCGGAGCCCTCCTTTAACTACATAGTTGTTTTTTAAGTGAAGAATATTCTTAGAGCCTTTTCCTTTCACAAGTTGCAGCCTTGGCTGCATGGAGCTTTGCCCAGAAGACACGCTCCCTTTATTCCATTCTGCATCAGAACCTTCCTTATCTCCTTCAACATAAGCCTTGTCTCTGACATAAAATTTCCTGATGTTCTCTTTCTTCCCAAACCGAATATTTCATATTTTTGCTTAGCCATTTTCACTAATCTACATAAGAGTTATTAGTAATAACTGCTCAACAGAATCAATATTGTGAGAGTCAATATTAGCTTGCCTTAAAATCTCCTCTGCCAACAAAATCAGTCCAAGACTCTTCTTACATCTTGATCCTATAAACAAGGAAGGAACCTTCATGGTAGATGTCACCTTTTAGTACTATCACATTGCCAACAGCCAAGTTTTGGAAGGGACCACCTCAGACAGATTCTTAGGTAAGGGCAGCCACATTGCTCTCAGCGCTATTTCTTGTAAACTCCTACTTGGATGGCCCATGAAGCTCTGATAATAGAATTTAACCACTTTCCTAGTCCAAGGTCCCAAAATCTTCTATATTCCTCCAAAAAAAGTCAGGCCTGTGAGAGCAATAGCCCATTCTCTCTGGTTCACCAACTTCTGTCTTGGTTACTTTTCTATTCTGACAAAACACCATGACCAAAGCAAGTTAGAAAGCTTTTATTTGGGGGCTCACAGTTCCAGAGGGTGAGTACACGATTGCCATTGTGGGGAGCACTGAGGCTTGAGCTGGCACTGGAGCAGCAGCTGAGAGTTTATAGCATAATCTGCAAATAAGAGGCAAATAGAGCTAACTGGGGATGGTATTGCCTTTTGAAACTTCCCTAGTGACAGACCTCCTTCAACAAAGCCAGACCTCTTAATCCTTCCCAAACAGTTTCATCAACTGGGGACCAAGTTTTTAAACCCATGAACCTATGGAGGCCATTCTCATTCAAACCCCACAGCCATGGACATAGATGAAAAGCTACAACTAGCATTCCAAATCAGCTGAATTCTTTTCATGAATGACCATGATGTGGACCAGGTCTTCAGGCAGCAGCCTCTTGGTCCCATATGGACCAATAAGATCCTCCAGAAAGCCATCTGCGTTCCTAGTTTATCACAATTCCTCATCTGTCCATAACAAGAGGTGCAGCTTAGGAGAGAACATGTAGTTTATTACCTGCAATGCTCTGGGCTTGATACCCATCACCCAAAACAGACATGACCCAGATCCCACAGACCATATATACATCATGTTTTAACTCAAGCAGGCTGTTAGGTCTAGGAAGACTCTTGATTTTGATCCCATTTATTGAAGATGGGGAAAGGATAGAGAGAAGATCAAAAGGAGAACGTACAGTCACGTCCCTTTGCGCAGTGGCACTGTTTACAGCTAACAGACAAAAGAAAAGCAGGAGACAAGTAATAAGAGAATAGAGATAAGCTAAGAAATTGAAACAGAGATGGGAGAAAAGACAGGGTGGGGAAAGTAAAGAAGGGTAGCAACAACAAACCCACCTCTCTTGATATATTCACATCTCTTGATCTACAGCCACTGACCTATCAGCATATCCTGGAAATGCTAGATGGTTCTGTCTCCATTTTAATGACCATCAAAACAGAGGATGTCTTAAAATGTCTATTATACTTAATAATGTTTGGCGTTTTTATTATGCTCTAGAAATCTCATCTCTAAGCAACAATTCAGATAGGCAATCCAGATAGTTGTTGTTGTTGCTTGATTTCTAATAATTAGAGCACTTCCTATCTTAAAGTTCTTTAATGGCCATATCACTCCCATTCAGATCTCCCCAATCACCTTTTACACACCAACGTACAGGACCTTAGCCTGAATGAAAAGGTTATCTATGCAGAGGCTTCTGGTTATGTGTCCTGGAGGCCCTGGGCACTGCAGCAGATGCCTGCCCCTCTTCACGGCAAGCTCCTGTAGATTTGGCTGGAAAGCAGTATTATTTGGTGCACTTGTCTCCGTGTCGCTGGTGAACACAAGGCATTCCGAGACACCAAGGCTTCTGTGAGGCAGAAGGACAGCTCCATTATATACGCTGACCACCTGACCACGTAAGGCAGGATACAGCTTCCTGTCTTCTCAGTGGTGTGGTATGAGACTCTGCCTGCCAGTTACCTCTTAATGGTGTTTTACATGAGTGTTTCTTTCTCTTCTCCTCTGTCTCAGTCCCTGTCTCCCCCTTCTCCCTCTCTCCTTTAATAATGCACAGCTTCATGATTTTTCTTGGTCATGCCCTCTTTCTTTGAACTTCTGATTTTTACTACCCTCTCTGGACCTCTTCAATCTTTTAACTTTACTTTCTATGGAACCCTATGAAAAGCAGTGAGTGAAAAATCTTCAAGTCAAAGACAGGCCCTCTTCTAAGATCCTATTTTACAAAACCACTGTAAAGTGCATTTCCATAGATACAAACACATGTTGTATATATGTGAGTCTGTGCTTACACTACTTTCCTCTCAGGAGATGCCACAGTGCTCTGTGCTAAACATCCCTAAGCCTTTTCCCTGACAGATTAGTGACTGGGAACATAGCCATTCTCAAAGCAAGGGGAAATAATTCCTCCAAACACACACACATTATCCTCCATCGGGACTACTTGGTGAACCAGAGTTAGATTTGATGTCTGTCCTTATTCAGAGGGGCAACACAAAGCCAGCTTCCCTTTAAAACCACAGTGACATGCAAAACAATGGCTTTGCCCTGCATCTTAGTAGAGCAAACCGTTGGACTTGACAATGAAACACCATTTCTACACCGCACTTGAGAATGTTCACAACAGCGGTCAGCTTTCACATGCCCGGAGCCTTGCTGGCAAGGGATCCTCTATGCCGTTTCAGATAGATCATAAATCTTTGAGGTTAAACAAACTCATATAAAATAGTTATTTACTCTAGGTCAACAAAGTTGGAGGTTTATCTATTACAGAAGATACTGTTACTGTTCGATCTCAAAATTAGGCACCATTAGCCCAAGGTTCTGTTTTTAACATTTAGAGTGAATTTTCTAATTTCTTCACTCCCACCAGACAAACTGACTTTTCTGACGTCAATCCTCAGGCCATCCAGTCTGGACTCACTGGGACACATTACCACAACTGTAGCCTGTACAGTCATTTTCCTTCTCAAGTGACAGCAGCACTTTTGAGAGTGAAGGTTATACTTCAGTCTTTTGTCCCCTGTGTCCAATTGACACTCATTGTTTCTTATAAGAACAAATGGATGAAGAAGAATAATGGAATTAGGATTTGTCCGATGGAAAATAAGAGCTGAAGGGGATGTGGCTAAAGTTCAAATCCCGTGAAAGGTAGGCAGAATGGAGAAGGTAGGATGAAGGGAGAATTTAAATTGTTCCCTAGACAACCAGAAATAAGAATTGAAAATGCTAAGTGTGAGATTTTTAAGGAATTAATGCTAAAATAATAAGGAATATTGAAAGTGAGAGAAATAGTCTTTCCCAGGCAAGAGAACACCAATTGGATTGACTACCAAATGGTCATCCCTGGAAAGCTACATACAAATAACTTTATGCAGACTAAGAAGGTTATATCTATATATTTATGAATACATATATATTTGTAGATATATATATTACATAGGTGTGTGTGTGTGTGTTACAACTAATGAAAAAAGAAGCCATGACTTGAAAGGGCAGGGGAAAGGGGTTACATGGGTACCTTTGAAGGGAGGAAAGTGTGTAATTGTAATCTCAAAAAATAAAATGTTTTAAAAATAAAATAAATGAAAATAACACTAGCAAAGGAATTGATGTAGAAGTTAGTAAACTTGAGCTTCTTAAGTTCAAGAAATGATGAAATATGAAAAAAGAATCATAAAACTTTCCTGAAGAAAACCTGGTGTCTTCTATTTCTTAAGCATTTGGGAGTTGGTCATGAAGGAAAAATATAGCTTTTTGAGAATATGACCCTTAGAGCTCAAAAAGACATAAAACATTCAAACATCTTGGTAATGACAGTATAATCATTTCATTCTTTTTGTATATGAGTGGCCCTGTGTGTCAGAGCCAGGACCACACATAGGAGGCAAGAGCTATATCCCTATCCTCTTCAGAATCATTAACACATAATAGAGTGGCTAACTCATGTTTTCACCACTAACGCCCGGCCAAAATTTACTGGGCTTGTTTCTGTTCCCTGTGTATGAGCATCCGTCCTTCTTTCTTCTTAAGAATGCTTCTTGCTACCATACCTAGCGGAGTCTTGGACTCCTGGACTCAAATGACTTTATCACCTTAGCTTCCCTGTGGCTGTGGTTACCCACAGACGGCTTTCATTAGCATTTAGGGAATCTATGTGAAACCCAAGGACAGCAAGAGTAAAGATAATGAGTAAAGATAAGACGTTCCCAATGCTTTCTTTCTGGCTTTCTTACGTACGTACTCTCATACACCACAGAATTTCACATGCCATGAAAGAACTACATGCCTGTGAGATCATCAGCAGTCTCACCCTATTTCTGGAACATTCTCTCCCACACCTGGAAAGATCCCCAATAAGGGAATGGCTGGACTAATTAAAAGTTTGGCTACTTCACGATGATCTCTCTTTGCTCCATAAAAACTAACTCTTAAAATACAGATAATAAATGAGCATTGGGTTTCATTCATCTTTGACCTTCCCATTGTTTTCCCCGGCTCACAATATTTAACTTTCATCTGAAAGCTATGATTGATCTAACAGGAATTAAAGCACAAAACAGACACTTTCCCTTTATAGGGAGGTTATTTAACCTGAGAACGCCACTCTGAAAGGCTTAAAGGTGCGCACTCACCTGTAGCTGGGATATAGTTAAAGGGTACCGGAACAATATCCACGTAACTCCTTCGCTGCAAGGTGGAATAGTCAGAGATCCTTCATAGACCCAGTAATCCCGCAGAAGAGGGTCTGTGCAAACACATGGACACAGCATGAAATGGCAAGTTGGTGGACTTAAAACTCAACATTTCCAAATGGCAATCTGTTGATGTAACACTTCTCAAATGGATGCATTTTTAAGTTAGAGCCTCATACACAAATTTTTACCTACCACTTGTGAAGAAAATAATCAATGAGAACATGATTAATTCCCTTTATATCTACAGAGATATCTATCAATGACTCACTAGGCATATCTATCAAGATTGATACAGTTAGGAAACTATTACCACTTTTCATATTAGCTGATTCACAGCTGTTTCCTATTGAACTATGTGTCAAGTACTATTTAGAGCACTATACATCAATTCATTGAGTATTCACACAAAGAAATAAGACACAGTAGCCACATTTTATACAGAAAAACTAAGTTACACAGTGTGTCCATGATCACACAGCTAGTAACTGGTGGAGGATTTGAACCCAAGCAGTCTGCTTTCAAAGCCAGTGTTTTCAAACATTCTGTTCTAGCTATCTCTATATTGCTTCCTCAATAGCACATTACTAAAAATCCCAATGTGATAAGAGAAAATAAGTTAAATATTTGAACTCCTCAGCACTGCCTAAGAGAAACTGATGATTAAATATACCAAAGTAAGCAGGCAAAAGATGAGGGAAACTGGTGTGCAACCGAGCAATTAAGTGTAGAAATAGGATACAATGGATCAGCCTATTTGGTTTTGCTTGAAACATTGTGGAACAGCACACAGTTGAAGCAGAGAAATGTGAAGACCAAAACTAAACTCCAGGTTATATTCAGAAGGCTTTATGTATAATTATTGCCTATGCATAAATACAATTAGAATATTTAATACTGATGCTGTAATGAAGCAACCTTATAAAATTAGATATATAGTCTATTTCATTCTAGAAATGACCCGATCGTCTTGAAAGTGCCTCAGTTATTTTGAAGTTTGCCGGTACTTTGCACTGAGGTGGCAACTTCACATTTTACAAATGATGTTGCTGATTAAGGCCTTTTGGGAATAAGGAAGCTGAGGAAAGGGTTTCCTAACACTCAGAAGGCTTCCTTGCCTTAGCAACAGTGATCGGTGACCTGCTACAGAGACCAGAAAGTACAGAGGATCTTTATCAAGTAATACTACATGATTATGAACATCCTAAAGAAAACAGTGTGGTTGCACACAGTTAAAGTTCACTTAAGGCCCTCAAGTAAATGCTTACCTGGTAGTAAGGTATTAGGATTAAAGCACGGTATTGTTTTGGATTTTCCCTGAAAAAGGAAAAATAATTCAGTCCACGTTAGTGTAAAACTTATAAAATTTTGCATAAAGGTTATTAGAACTAAGGATCTCTACACTTAAGTCTTTTCAGATGAATTCACCTGTCCCAATATTAGTGAATGGACCACTCTTTTCTCCCTGGACTGAGATCGACTGGATCCAATAAAATACACCTGCTCTGAGTCTATGGCTGTTTACTTTATAATGCCTGGTGCAGAATGTTCAACCGGTGCCTACCTGCTCCACAGAAATGTTTTTACTGAAACAGATGCCATAGGAAAAGTTATCAGAGGAAGTCCCATCCTTGCCTCCCGGACTTGCCAGGGCCGGGCTGCTTAGAGCCTCTGTATCCTGACATCAGGACGGGCTCGTGGCTGCCTTCAGGAAGACGGCCTCTGAGCTTTTGGAGTACCCCTTCCCCCACCCCTGTTAGGAAGTTTTCCTATACTCGAAGGCTTGGGGCATGCCATGTTTAAGTTTTCAACCTGGCCTTTGGGGCCTGCTACACTGGCATGAGCCGATGTGCTTATCCCAAAAATGTATGGATGCCTGGTTTAACTCAGTGTTAGAGAAATAACAGCAGGGTGTAAGAAGCCAGGGGAAATTGACTAGACAATCCATGCTTACATGAAGAGAAAAGTATCCTAGTTCACACAGGTGACACATGTTAAAACTGCTAGGAGCCCAGAAGAAAACACTAGGAAGTGTGTTCCAGGTCCCACTAGACTTCGACGCATGTCCCTTTCCCAGCATCACACTGTGATAAACCATAACTGTTAACTCTAGCAGCTCTTCGGAGTCCTCTAAGCCCTTCTGAGCATTACCAAGCTAGAGACAGTCACTGGGAACTCATATAGAACTAGTTTACATCATTCGACTAATGATTTACCTTATACTGAATATCCTGGAGGATCTCAGTCACAGCCTTCAAGCCAACGTGTTCCTTCCCTATCTGAAACACATAAAGCACAAACCAGAAACACACATTTTTCTGTGCTTAGCTTTTACCTAAAATAACCACCAGAAGCAAGGCCCCGGTGCAGCTGAATGACCTTCCTGTGAATTAAGTTACTTTTCTATTTACACTTAGGTTAATAACTAGAGGTAACTAAGGTTTTAAATCTTGTGCAATATAATACTTGAGAATCTATCTAAATTCATGTTACTACAGATATTTATTACTCATGGGGTCATATGTAAGATACATAACCATAAAAGGTTACTATAGAAAATGTCCTAAGTAGAACTTTGCCTTCCTTTTTAAATGACGGGCTCTCTCTAACTAGCCCTGCCTTGAAACTTGGTATGTAGACCAGGCTGGCCTCGGGCATCAGCCAGCCTATGAGTCTGCCTCCTAGGCCCTAGAATTAAAGGCATACACCACCGTGTCTAGATTTTTCACTTTTACTTATTTGCCCATTTTGCCCTGTATTCTTGCCTTTGACATTTACAGAATGTTGTCATGAATATTTCCATAATGTTGAAATTTTTCACCAACTCAGAAGTGGTTATGTTGTTTCATACATATGTCACGGTCAAAATTACAATATCTCTGGATTATCACTGATCACTATTCAATAGCCTCTTCTTCTTCAGTCTTACTAAAAATAAGACTGGTTTCCAAAGCTCACTACTATATATACATATGTGTATGTATATATATATATATATATATATATCAAATATAATTTACTTTCTACTATATATACATATATGTAGTAAATATAATTGAAATATATGTATATATATTTTATATAGTAAATATAATTTAAACATATGTATATGTTTAAATATACATAAATATTGAAAGTAATGTTCAAAAACCTGATACATGAAGTAAGTTTTCTGGCACTTATTGTCCTTGTCTTTTTGTAAATATTTAGTGCCACCTGACTGCCACTTTCAGTCTGCCTCCAGTGGACCCTGACAATGGAGAGGAAGAGCAGAGCTCAGGCATTACCTCAGATAGGCAGGCACTGCTCTGCTAGGCCTTTTCTCTTTTCATATGTCTGCAGAATTACCTGTACGATGCTGTCAACACGCACACTTTTGTTTCTCCTAATATTAAACTGTGAAATGTGCAACAGAAAGAAACAAGGAGCCGAAGAATGGCTAGTCAGTTCACTAATAAAAAAACATTTCCTGAGATGGGCTCTAACAACAGAAAATAAAATTTCTAAGGTTTATATAAGTGATCCTGCAATTAAGTGTTTTTATCTGTAAGTTGCTCTTGCGTATGGTGTCTCTTTACTGCAATAAAACAGTGTCTAAGACAATATACTAGATTTTCTAGAAAACAATTCTAAAGTTTAAAAAACATCTTTTGTAAATATATGCATAAATGCAAAAGCCCATATCTCAACCAGAGGCCTTCCTGGCTCTTCAGGAGAAAAGGACTCTCCTTATGTCATGATTTACCAGGAGGTGGCTTTTCGAGGCATGATGTCTTCCCTTCATAATCTCCCATCAGATCATAAACTCCACGAAGAGTCCACATCACAATGTTGTAAAACCACACAACACAGCGGTCCAGCAGTGGGTTCTCACGCTGCACTGACAGGCTCAGCTTCTAGTTTTGACTCTGGCACATTTGAGCTCCGTGACCTCAGAATGGTTACTTGAACCTCTATCTCCTCCTTGCTGCCACTTTGAAATGTTCAACTCCAAGAGGCCACTCTTTCTGCTCAGGCTTTCCCATCCACCCAGCCCTCTCTTCCTCTGTCTCCCTTTGTACTGATTGTTAACCACCAACATCTCAGCCCCTTTGATTCATCCTTTCTCCTTAAGTCGAAGGGCATCTCTTCCACCACTCTCAGGCCTTCCACCGCTTTGCCCTCCTAAATCACCTGCTCTTCAATTGATCATCAACACAATTTGCTAGAACGTCCTTTCCTCCTACGTGCATGGAGAATAATAGCTCCTGTGCTCTCCCACCTCACCCAAGACGTCCAGCCTTGAGTGGGTTTGCTTCACAGACTGTCTAGTATCTCCCTCTCTCTCCTGGCTGTTTCAAAGTCAAACCCTATGCTCAGGTTTCTCTTACTCTAGAAGACTGCTTTTGCATGTCTTGGAATAATGAAGGGCACATGAGCTACCCTAACTTCCCGCCCTCTCTTTACCTAAGAAAGCAATTGTCCTGGTGAGGCCTCAAATCTAAGTAGAAAGGTATATATCCTCCGTGCCACACACTCCCTTCTTCTTTTTATTTTTATTTTTTAATATTAGTTACAGTTTGTTAACTTTGTATCCCTGCTGTATCCCACTCCCTCTTTCCCTCCTAATCCCACCCTCCCACCCTCATCTCCTCCCTGCCCCTTTCCAAGTCCACTGATAAGGGAGAACCTCCTCCCCTTCCATCTGATACTGGTTTATCAGGTGTCTTCAGGACTGGCTGCAAAGTCCTCTGTGACCTAGCAAGGCTGCTTCTCCCAGGGTGGGGTGAGGGGGTCAAAGAGTCCGCCATTGAGTTCATGTCAGATACAGTCCCTGTTCCCCTTATTAGGGTACCCACTTGGATACTGAGCTACCAAGGGCTACCTCTGAGCAGGGGCTCTAGGTTGCATCCATACATGACCCATGTTTGGAGAAACAGTCTTCTCATAAAAGACCCCTGTGCCCATATATATTTGGTCCTTGTGGAACTCCTGTCCTCTCCAGGTTGTATTAACTCCCCCCCGACCCCCACCCCCTTTTTTTTTTTTTTTTTTTTTGGTTCCCTGCATTCTGCCAGAGGTTTGGTTATGAGTCTTAATATCTGTTTTGATACACTGCTAGGTAGAGTCTTTCAGAGGCCCTCTGTGGTAGGCTCCCTTCTTTAAGATGCCCAGCAACCACAAGGCAGCTCTCAATCATCTATAATGAGATCTGGTGCCCTCTTCTGGTGTGCATGTGCACAGGCAGACAGAACATTGTATGCATAATAAATAAATAAATCTTAAAAAAAAAAAAAGATGCCTCTACATTAACCATCCCCTCTCTTTTCTGTATTTTGTTAACTGGTTCTATGCCAGCTCTCAGATCTCAAATCTGCCACTAGCTTCGCTCCACTGGCCCTTTCTTGTTCGAGTCAAGCTTTCAGAAAACAAGTCAGTGCTCTGAGCCCTCACGTCCTCATATCCTTATTCTGATGCTGCCTGGCTGCGGCCAGGGCACCCTATCTTCCCCTGGCACTCTTCACACACCCAGCCACTCCTGAGTCCTTCCTCACAGCGAATGCGTGGAGGTAAGAGCACCTGTGCATATTCTGAGGCTTCCTGTGACCACAAGCCTGTTCCTGGACACGCTGGGGCTGGTTCCCGGAAGGCGAAGTTTTCAACCCAGGGCCCCGACAGCCCTCACACCATTAGACATGGAGGGTCAGACAGGCAGTGGTGACAGTGAATAAGCATATCTAATTAAACCCCCAAGTCTGAAGATGAATCTGCTCCCGGCTTCCCATGCAACACCTTGTTTATCTGTGCTCCTATGTTTATTATCCTTATTCTTCTTCCTAGATAATGGCGTACACCTTCCACTGCCTCAACTTGGCCAACATGATACTCCACTAACTTTTAAGTTAAGTCTTCAACACACTAAAAATTAAAAACATCTTCTGCCAATAATTTATGAGTCCCTTCTACCAAAATAATAGTTGCGAAACTAAATGATATGAACCTGTGCCTGTGTAAACATGAAGTAAAGACTGGGAAGAGAATTCAACTTAAAATGCAAGGATTTGTTTTAATTCTGTCCTAGGATGCTCTTCTTCTGAGACCCAAAGGTTGCTAAAATTCTCAAGGGCCTTTCGCTTTTAGTGAGTCTTTAATCACACCATGAAGCTGAGGACAAAGTTTAAAACTCACCTGAAGATTTTAAATTTCTACTTTATAGCCTATGGCTCTATTTTATGTGTTTGTTAAACCATGCAATATTCTCTGTCATCACAGAGCTCAATGTCCACTTGAAACTGGCTAAACATGCCATGGTCTTTGCCAGTCTTCATTTTATCATTGTTTTCTATAAAGCATTTCAAATCATCTTTGAGTGAAAATTATTAATAACAAAAAGAAAAGACAATTCACTACATGATTATATTATTGATTTTTTTTTTTTTAGATTTTGTAGTAAGTCTGGGTCTAAAACAGTTTTTCTGAAATTCTTTTTCCTAAATTTAAAAAAAAAAAATGAAGTCTGACTTCAGGAGATATTTTCTAAGTTGTTTCTCCAAAGGCCCCAGGTACCACTCTGCAAAAGGTACTGAATAAATAAATGAACTATTTATACAAGAAATACAGTTCAACTCTTGGCAACTGTCAAAGCATCCTTTGTTTATATATGTTTAATTTGACCTGTAAATATTAAAGCAGAGAAATGAAAAATATTGGACAAAATGGCTGCAAACAGTGGAACCTCATGGTGGGCGATTTACCTGAACGAACAGTGCGATGATGGCAATGCCGTGGGGCTTCCCAACCGCCTCATCGATGCTGCCAAACAGGGTGGAGTTCCAGTGGATCAGATGGAGCTGAAGGCACAAGACCAACCACTTAGCACGCTACTCAGAAAAGCAGGCGTTGTCTACCCGACTCTCAGAGCCTACTGGATAACAGTCATAGAAAGGGATCACAACCAGTCACGGGCAGACTACTGCACCAAGAGAAGTCTCTGTAAGAGTCCTTTCAATTTCTGTTCAGCTCAGTGTAACTTAACGCTTTCAGGCTTTCACGCTGGCTGAGCATCGTTCCTTAAATCCAGGCCCCGTGGATTGCAATGGAGCAAAACCACAGGTAGAGAGACAAACACCATCATTCACCGGAAGGCTGGAGGCAGGGAGTGTGGCTTAGCAGTAGAGTGCTTAAACCCTGCACCAGCACAGAGGGGAGACTGGAGTATGACCTGCATAACTGCCCAGTATTTCCAGTAAGAAATCGTAAGAACATATTCTCAAAAGCTGGCAAATTATTTCAATTCTCTGAGAATATCCAGAAACAGAAAACTGCAGTTTCTCACCTAAAAGCATACCTAAAATTTGACCACTATTCATCTTAGCCTCTTAAATTTTCAAAAAGACTACCATAGGTGTCATTTTTAACCTCTAATTTATTTGGGGTTCCTGAAAGCCTGTCCCTTCCAACCCTCCAACCCTAAGTAGGAGACAGAAGGTTAGTGGGGAGAGGAGGAGCAGACACCTTTGTGTTTAGGGTCTGTGGTTTCTTTCGGGGCTATACCAGTCTCTGTCAACAGCAAATGCAGCCAGCAGTCTCCCACAAGCTGTCGTGCCCCAAAGCATCTCTCTCTGCGTCTGCTCCAAACCGCTACACCGTCCATCTATGGCCTCTCCAAACTGCCACACTTTCTCTTTCTGGCTCTCATATTTATATCCTCAGAGCCCTAGACCATGCCTCTCTCCATGCAGCATGAGGCAGTCCGTGACCAGCTGTCAAAGGCCATTCTCTGCACAAGACAATCATCACCTATGGACAAACTAAAGCCCAGCTAAAATCCCACACTTGGTATTAAGACAAAAACATATTTACATAACATAACTGAGTTTACCAAGAAACCAAAACTTTCCTTATTGTAAAATAAGGATTGACTAAAATTTTATTTTCAACTGCTGAGTTTGTCCACAAGTTTTAGCTTAGTATTTTTATGGTAGCCTTGAGTGTGAGAACAAGTAGGTCTCTGACTCCTGTGCCTGCTCTTGGGGCTCTTCTGTTCGGTTGCCTTGTCCAATTTCGACAGGCTGGGTTTTGCTTCATCTCGTTATATTTTATTTTGTCACGTGTGGCTGTTTGTTATCTCTTAGAAGCCTGTTCTTTTCTAATGAGAGACAAAAAGGTAGTATATCCTGGTAGGGAGGAACTGGGAGGAGTTAGAGGGAGGTACCCTATATTAATTAAAAAATAAAAAAACTACAACTGACCACTAGAGGGAAGTAACAAAAATCAGTAATAGAATCGGCAACCTGAGGCCAGGCCGTGAAAACTCACCAGGGCTATTAATTATCCAGGTATAGCCTTTCTGAATGCAACCTCCTATCACTTCTCAATTAATAATGAAGTGCTGAATAATTTTAATCTTTCTTCTCTGGCTCCCAAACATCCTGTGGTATAACTAAGAACTGGGGGCTCCTGCTAAATCAACAAAGCGCTAAATCTGAGCGCTCCACCACAGGGTATTTTTATTCATCACACGAGAGTTTAAAGGACATTTTTCTCCTCATAACAATATTATAGGCTACTTTTTTTCAGAAATAAAACGTTAATAAACTTTTTTAAAGCATGACTTTTTGTTTTCTGTTTCTTTGGGGATGTGGAATCCGGCCTGATAGTCTTCCTAACTCAGTGGAGCCATCACACCTGCCCTTCAAGATGTTTGCACATTCTTTTAATCACTTAAACAATCTCAAGGGTCGCCACTGTCGTGTGCACAGTGCATGGCGACTGTTTCCAAAAGTACAGCACACAGAGCTGGTACCCGACAAAACCACATGATCAAGATCAGCACACAGCTTGTCACTCTGACAGTCGGTGTCTGGGTAAAGGACGAAGACGGCCTCTGTGTCCTTCCCCCCCCCCCGGTAACTGTTAACTACAATGTAATCACCATCAAAACGTCAGGCAAAACACCTGGCTGGGGCATCTCAGAACTGCCGTCAAGAAGAAAATGAGAAAACGTTACACACAAAAGAAGCTGAAGAACACCAGAGCATTAACAGTAATAAGGTTTCATAAATGGATTTAAAGACAAAAGAAAACTCCACAAAATTAAGGAAATATGAATAAAATCCAGACTTACTAATGTATTGGCATTAGCCCACTAATTCTACAAAATGTATACTGATAGGAAAAAATTGCTATGGGGCACATAGAAATTTTTTGTATATCCTCACAATTTTTCTGCAAATCTCAAACTGTTGTAAAAATGGTGATTTTCTTTCCCTTCAAGGAAAATAAGGAAACACTAGCATTTCAGCCATCTTCAGATAAAACTGACAACAGCTCTCTGTGGTTCCCCACATATCTAGAACAATAATTCAAAATGAAAGTAGCAAGACAGTCTCTACCTCCTTTGTCCAACTGGGTCTCCACCCATCACCTGAGACCTGGTGGCTCAGGGCCAAGAAGACTCAACATCAACAAGCATCCCATATTCTGACACTAAAGGGCCACCCTGGTCCCGAGACTTTAACTTCTGAAGATGTGTTCCCTCTTACAAGAAAGAGACAATGGGAGATTCCAGTTCCACGTAAAAAGAGATTAGATGGCTAATTCAGGTCCTGGGCCAGTTTCCAACACACCCTGGAAGCTGGCCAGCGCTGGCTGTCCCCACAGCAGTAATCAGATGCATGGTCTGCAGGATCAGCACACTGCGTTTCAGGATGTGTAGGTGCAACACACTGCATTTTTGCTGCTTCTCAGCTCGAGGCTTGCTCTGTTCCTCAAGGGCTTTCCTGCTTTGTCTACACTCGTCCTGTGAGGGACACTCTCACCCCATGCCACAGACTGGAAGGCTGAAGCAACAGGAACTCATTTTCTCATCATTCCAGAGGCTGGAAATATGAGAGTCAGGTGTTGGCAGCGTGTTTCTCCACATGACAGTTCTGTCCCTGGCTTACAGACAGTTTTGTCCGTGTTGTCACATGATCTCTCCTGCAGGTGTGTCTATGTCCTATCATTGTCTCTTACAAGGACACGGTTATACTGGATGAGGGCCTGTGCATAACAATTCCTCTCCTAATTGCTTCTCTAGGCATTTGATTTCCAACTACACTCACAGTCACAAGCACTGGCATCAATACCTGGGTTTCTGAGAGACACAATTGTGTTCATACCTTCGTCTGTCTCCCTTATCTGAGGTAAGCAAACTTGATGTAGCTGAAGCCAATTTGAGTTGCAAGCACCGTGCCTGCCCTGAGTAGCCATCATGCGTTTTCCTGCAGCACTGTGACCAGACCCTGGCACTGTCACCACAAGCAAAGTGCCTGAAGGCTTCCCTGCCACATGGGATAAACCAAGTAACTGCAACTTGGGTGAAGCCAGTGTGCTCACTGCCACTATCTAAGTGCTCTCGTTCTCACTCAAGTCATGGAGATCTACCAGTTTGCCTGCCCACTTCTGGTCTCACTTTTGTCTGTAACTCCTCCACGGTGCCTTATAGTACTCCATGTGCCTGATTCTTCAGTCTCCAGGCACCTTTCACCTCTGCAAGCCAGGTTTTCTCATGGAAATTTTCCAGAACACTTCTTTTTCCTGTCTCGCAATCACAGCATGGTTTGTTTTCGTCTCAAACTCCTGACTTATTCAGCTTCTCTTTGTTCCACACAGCCCCGCCTTTGTTCCTATAATTTTAGCAGTTCTTCCTTTAGAGGGATGTTGGTTCAGTTCTCTAGATCAAACTCAGAGATGTAGGGAAATCATCAAGGAATATGAAGAACTAGAATTCCTTTGTGGGGACCTAAGTTTGGGGATGGTAAGAGGGGGCTGAAAGACAGGAAGGTCTTACTGCAAGGTGCTTTAGATTTTTAATAGACCTAATATGTAAACACTGGAGTTATTACCACAGTCATTGTTATAATTTACCTCTTTAGTCGTTATTGGTATTCTGTACTGGGTCGGTTTCAGTCACCTGCTGGAGGTCTTGGAACAAGTACCCTCCACCCCCGGATAAAGAGATTCTGTTAATAAAACAATGCATAACTACAATGTTTTGTGAAGCACTCATGTATTATGGCTAGTTCTAATGGAGGCAGTTCAACAAAAGAATCTGGGGGCGCGAAAAAAGACTGCGGTTTACAAAGCGATGAAGCAACTGTAAAGGGACGTGACGCCGCTTTCCCCACATTTTCTTAAGAACTGGCTTCTGAGGGGTCCAAGTAGACAGCTATTGTGAGCCGACGGGCCTCAGCAGATGAGCTTCAAAGAGAGGGCTAAGAGTGCAGACTTGCTGGGGGCGTGTCTCGCTACTACAAGGACAGAGGGAAAGGCTGCAACCTGAGCGCCTGCAAGGCCGGACTCTCACAGGCAAAGTGCCCTCACAGACCTCAGCTGGGAATCAAGGCCTTAGGTTCTCCTTTCAGCCCTGCAGCCGCAGCCCTGTGAACTTCACAGCTCCTTTGAGCATCGGGCTCTCTGTAACCTTAAGAGCACCGTACTTCATAAGCTGAGTTCACTCTCACCTCTGTGTCTCCCCGTGCGCCCTCTCCTCCTATATGCTGTCATTCACGTTGGTTATCTGCAGCTCGCATGAGCACTGAAGCAGAGAGCTGCAGGCTGAGGACTGAGAGCAGTTTTCCCAGTTTTCAGTGCTGACCAAGCATTGCAGTACTGCTTTCTACTGCCAAGAACTGGGTGGCTCGTCTCTATATCCACCGGCAGGCTCTAGATGGCCCACCGTGCACAGCTTAAGGGGCACCGAAATACAGATGAGCCCTGGGGCCGCGGTGCAGCAGCCCCTAGTCCGTGAGGATCGTGGACAGTCTGCCTTGGAAACACATGGTACGGCGGGGAGCTGAGGGCTGTC